AGAGTTCAGAGCCTCTCGATCTTCAAACATTATCTCGGCTGCTTGCGTGCGTAGATCAAAATATGATCATTATATATTTTGTGTTACATTTTTGGCGTTTGAGGATTGAAATGTATAAAGGGTTTTCACTTAGCTTTTTGCTAAGTGACTCTGATGCCATTACAGGTAAGAGGATACAACTCCCCGAGGGACAAACAGCCACAAATTTTCAGGTAAGTTTCCATTTCCGTCTGTTTCCACAGGTGTATTTTGGGGCGTGGGCGGTGTGGGCGTGTTGGGGCGGGGTATAATGACCCATGTTGTGGGAGAGTTGTGTGCACCAGAGGGATGATGACCCCGTATGATAACAGCCTCTGCCACTCCGTAGTTTAATAGGCTCCTTGTTATTAAGGATCAAAATTATTTAAATTAATCCCATTGTTGCTATATAATGTTGTCCGGTAATTGATCATAATGAAATTATGTCAGTTAAGTGCTATTATGATGAGAATAGGAGAAAGAGGACAACAACCTAATCAGACTTTCCCTAGACCTAGAAAAGTATAAATTAGGTCTGGGATTGTTTATTTGAACCTAGGAAAAATCAGGCTTGAATTTGTGTTTTTTTTTAACCCACTTTAGTAAGCCAACACTATTTTTTTAGGCAGTAGGGGAGTACAACAGTTAACATTTATAATAATAATAATTTATTTAGGAAAAGTACATACATAGTGGCAGAGTTACAGTACAAACATTGTGATTGATTTAAAGATAGAGGTAGTACATACAATACCTAAAGCCACTAGTACGCATAGCGTTTCGGGCAAGTATTATTTTGCTATAATAAGATACATTACACATATATACATTATGCAGTACATATATATTTATATATATTAGTATATTTTGGTAGCAGTCTCTTGTAAACATATGTTGTTGACTATGACCGAAAGGGTCAGATTAATGGTTCTAACACGAATCTTCTCAATATTTCTTATGTTTTTCTTCACTGTCGAGGGTAATTGAAAAATTAACTCTCCAAAGTTCATTTTCACATTTTTATTTATGGTCTGACGCCTAGCAGAGTTTCGCAAGAGACTTCTCACATTTTCTAAGACAAATTTTATGTACTCCTTTTCATGTTTATATTTGTTTTTGGGTGAGGTGATACAACACAAACCAATGGGTAAAGATAATTTTACACGAAATCAATGGATACATTGCGTATTTTCTCTTATTGCTTCTGTGTTGGTTCGAGGTCTTGAAGTGGGTAGAATGTAATTATGTGTTAATTGGCTGTTGATTGCTGGTGTTGACTTTTTGATGTGTAGTGCCTCGCTGATGTCGAGTCTCCTGCCATCGCTGTATCTATCAATAATTTCTGTGTTGCTTGTTAAGATTTCTCTGGTGATGGTCTGGTTGTGAGAGGAGATAATATGTTCCTTGATGGAGCCCTGTTGTTTGTGCATTGTTAATCGCCCGGAAAGAGACGTAGCTGTCTTGCCTATATACTGAGATCTTTGGGGGCTGACGGTCCCCAAGTGGGCATGTGAAGGCATAGACGGTAAGAATAAATTTAGTGTTATTTAGTGTTATTGCACACAAAATTACTGGCAAAGTAGGAAGATGAATAACAAAGTAGTGAATGATTAATTTAGCAGTAGGAACACCGAGAGACAATTCTTTCACTTTTAAGGGTTGATAAATGTTAATCTTCTTGTTTGAGGAGCTGTTCACTTGAGACAGTTAAGCAAGTCCCAGCTGTGTCTGGGTACAAGTGACAGGATGAACAACCCAGCGGGTTTTCTTCCTATTGGGGAGTGTTGTACATGCTGCTATGGCGGTGTGTCCACTCACAAGATGAGTGGCGCTGCCCAATACTGTCACTATGGCGGTGTGTCCACTCACAAGATGAGTGGCGCTGCCCAATAAACTCGCCCCTCGGGGCAAAATTTAATTCTTTCAACATGAAGGACTCGAGGGCGTTGTCAACACTGTTCTCTCTAAACATAACAGACATAACTAGCCGGTCTCTAGCGGCGTTCATAAGAGAACTTGATGAACACCTTTGAAGGATAATTGATCAACCAAGTTTTGACTCTTGCATCAGCTTGCGAGCAGCGGTGTCGAACACTCTGGTTTACCAGCCCCCCTCCCCTCCCCCAACCAGGAGCCCTGGTCAGAGACCGGGCCGAAGGGACATTGATCACTGAAACCAACAATAAGTCCTTGTCTAGTGTCCTTGTTTGCTGTGTTTGCTTACTGTCGTTGCTCTCCCCCCCCCCACCCTCAGGCTTAGTTGCAAATCAACAGCTGCAAAGAACAGAAAGAAAGTAGTTTGTTGACCAGACCACACACTAGAAGGTGAAGGGACGACGACGTTTCGGTCCGTCCTGGACCATTCTCAAGTCGACTGTGTAGCTTTGTACATAACTCATGCATACATAACATACATACATGCATACATAACGTACATAACTACTACTCATGCATACATAACGTACATAACTACTACTCATGCATACATAACGTACATAACTACTACTCATGCATACATAACGTACATAACTACTTTACAAAGTAGTTTGTACATAACTCATGCATACATAACGTACATAACTACTTTACAAAGTAGTTTGTACATAACTCATGCATACATAACACACATACATGCATACATAACGTACATAACTACTTTACAAAGTAGTTTGTACATAACTCATGCATACATAACGTACATAACTACTTTACAAAGTAGTTTGTACATAACTCATGCATACATAACACACATACATGCATACATAACGTACATAACTACTACCCATGCATACATAACGTACATAACTACTACTCATGCATACATAACGTACATAACTACTTTACAAAGTAGTTTGTACATAACTCATCAACATTAGTGCAACATTTCTGCACGCAAATGGTTGCAAGGGGCACAAAAAACAAATAAATTTTAAGTTGAGTAAATCTAGTAACGCGTGATATATTCTGAGTCTAACACAGTATTAACGACTCTGTAAAGTAACTATTTCTGAAGGTTGTTGTTGTTGTTGTTTAAGATTCAGCTACTGGGAACAAGTTCCAAGTAGCACGGGCTATGGTGAGCCCGTAACTTACCTGGCACAGGAGCGGGGCAAGTAGCACGGGCTATGGTGAGCCCGTAACTTACCTGGCACAGGAGCGGGACAAGTAGCACGGGCTATGGTGAGCCCGTAGTGGACTTACCTGGCACAGGAGCGGGGCAAGTAGCACGGGCTATGGTGAGCCCGTAACTTACCTGGCACAGGAGCGGGGCAAGTAGCACGGGCTATGGTGAGCCCGTAACTTACCTGGCACAGGAGCGGGGCAAGTAGCACGGGCTATGGTGAGCCAGTAACTTACCTGGCACAGGAGTGGGGCAAGTAGCACGGGCTATGGTGAGCCCGTAACTTACCTGGCACAGGAGCGGGGCAAGTAGCACGGGCTATGGTGAGCCAGTAACTTACCTGGCACAGGAGCGGGGCAAGTAGCACGGGCTATGGTGAGTCCGTAGTGTACTTACCTGGCACAGGAGCGGGGCAAGTAGCACGGGCTATGGTGAGCCCGTAACTTACCTGGCACAGGAGTGGGGCAAGTAGCACGGGCTATGGTGAGCCAGTAACTTACCTGGCACAGGAGCGGGGCAAGTAGCACGGGCTATGGTGAGTCCGTAGTGTACTTACCTGGCACAGGAGCGGGGCAAGTAGCACGGGCTATGGCGAGCCCGTAACTTACCTGGCACAGGAGCGGGGCAAGTAGCACGGGCTATGGTGAGCCCGTAACTTACCTGGCACAGGAGTGGGGCAAGTAGCACGGGCTATGGTGAGCCCGTAACTTACCTGGCACAGGAGTGGGGCAAGTAGCACGGGCTATGGTGAGCCCGTAACTTACCTGGCACAGGAGTGGGGCAAGTAGCACGGGCTATGGTGAGCCAGTAACTTACCTGGCACAGGAGCGGGGCAAGTAGCACGGGCTATGGTGAGTCCGTAGTGTACTTACCTGGCACAGGAGCGGGGCAAGTAGCACGGGCTATGGTGAGCCCGTAGTGGACTTACCTGGCACAGGAGCGGGGCAAGTAGCACGGGCTATGGTGAGCCCGTAGTGGACTTACCTGGCACAGGAACGGTGCTCCTTCTGAAGATAAATAACCAGGGGGGGGGGGGGATACAGTGCCAATTTTATAAGTGCCGGAGCTCCGGTGGGTTATCTTCTTGAGGTTATCTTGAGATGATTTCGGGGCTTTTTAGTGTCCCCGCGGCCCTGTCCTCCACCAGGTCTCCACCCCCAGGAAGCAGCCCGTGACAGTTGACTAACTCCCAGGTACCTATTTTACTGCTAGGTAACAGGGGCATAGGGTGAAAGAAACTTTGCCCATTGTTTCTCGCCGGCGCCTGGGATCGAACCCAGGACCACAGGATCACAAGTCCAGCGTGCTGTCCGCTCGGCCGACCGGCTCCCAGGACCACAGGATCACAAGTACAGCGTGCTGTCCGCTCGGCCGACCGGCTCCCAGGACCACAGGATCACAAGTACAGCGTGCTGTCCGCTCGGCCGACCGGCTCCCAGGACCACAGGATCACAAGTACAGCGTGCTGTCCGCTCGGCCGACCGGCTCCCAGGACCACAGGATCACAAGTGCAGCGTGCTGTCCGCTCGGCCGACCGGCTCCCAGGACCACAGGATCACAAGTACAGCGTGCTGTCCGCTCGGCCGACCGGCTCCCAGGACCACAGGATCACAAGTACAGCGTGCTGTCCGCTCGGCCGACCGGCTCCCAGGACCACAGGATCACAAGTACAGCGTGCTGTCCGCTCGGCCGACCGGCTCTCGTTCCGATAGAACACAGTAATATAATGACTTACAACTGACGACAAGGAAGGGTTATCAATTGCTCTTGCAAGCATCAATAAGAGTTCCTTGCATGCACCGTGTGGTTTGTGCACTCAATAACTCGCGCTTTTTATAGCGCCGCTTGCAAGCAAATGCTTTTACGGCAGATTCCTCTTTTGCATGTGCAAGGCCAGCATCTGAAGTGGCTGGTAGTCGTGTCGCATTGTCGCGCTTGTGTCACGCAGACAACGGTGTTTGTTTTGCGTCACGCAGGCAGCGGTGTTTTGCGTCACGCAGGCAGCGGTGTTTTGCGTCACGCAGGCAGCGGTGTTTTGCGTCACGCAGGCAGCGGTGTTTTGTGTCACGCAGGCAGCGGTGTTTTGTGTCACGCAGGCAGCGGTGTTCTGCGTCACGCAGGCAGCGGTGTTGTTCTGCGTCACGCAGGCAGCGGTGTTCTGCGTCACGCAGGCAGCGGTGTTTTGCGTCACGCAGGCAGCGGTGTTCTGCGTCACGCAGGCAGCGGTGTTGTTCTGCGTCACGCAGGCAGCGGTGTTGTTCTGCGTCACGCAGGCAGCGGTGTTGTTCTGTGTCACGCAGGCAGCGGTGTTCTGCGTCACGCAGGCAGCGGTGTTTTGCGTCACGCAGGCAGCGGTGTTCTGCGTCACGCAGGCAGCGGTGTTGTTCTGCGTCACGCAGGCAGCGGTGTTGTTCTGCGTCACGCAGGCAGCGGTGTTGTTCTGCGTCATGCAGGCAGCGGTGTTTTGCGTCACGCAGGCAGCGGTGTTTTGCGTCACGCAGGCAGCGGTGTTTTGTGTCACGCAGGCAGCGGTGTTTTGCGTCACGCAGGCAGCGGTGTTTTGCGTCACGCAGGCAGCGGTGTTTTGCGTCACGCAGGCAGCGGTGTTTTGTGTCACGCAGGCAGCGGTGTTTGTTTTGCGTCACGCAGGCAGCGGTGTTTGTTCTGCGTCACGCAGGCAGCGGTGTTTATTCTGCGTCACGCAGGCAGCGGTGTTGTTCTGCGTCACGCAGGCAGCGGTGTTGTTCTGCGTCATGCAGGCAGCGGTGTTTGTTTTGCGTCACGCAGGCAGCGGTGTTGTTCTGCGTCACGCAGGCAGCGGTGTTGTTCTGCGTCATGCAGGCAGCGGTGTTTGTTTTGCGTCACGCAGGCAGCGGTGTTTGTTTTGCGTCACGCAGGCAGCGGTGTTGTTCTGCGTCATGCAGGCAGCGGTGTTTGTTTTGCGTCACGCAGGCAGCGGTGTTTGTTCTGCGTCACGCAGGCAGCGGTGTTTGTTTTGCGTCACGCAGGCAGCGGTGTTTGTTCTGCGTCACGCAGGCAGCGGTGTTTGTTTTGCGTCATGCAGGCAGCGGTGTTTGTTTTGCGTCACGCAGGCAGCGGTGTTGTTCTGCGTCATGCAGGCAGCGGTGTTTGTTTTGCGTCACGCAGGCAGCGGTGTTTGTTCTGCGTCACGCAGGCAGCGGTGTTTGTTGCTTTGTGTCACGCAGGCAGCGGTGTTTGTTCTGCGTCACGCAGGCAGCGGTGTTTGTTTTGCGTCACGCAGGCAGCGGTGTTTGTTCTGCGTCACGCAGGCAGCGGTGTTGTTCTGCGTCACGCAGGCAGCGGTGTTGTTCTGCGTCACGCAGGCAGCGGTGTTGTTCTGCGTCACGCAGGCAGCGGTGTTGTTCTGCGTCACGCAGGCAGCGGTGTTGTTCTGCGTCATGCAGGCAGCGGTGTTTGTTTTGCGTCACGCAGGCAGCGGTGTTTGTTGCTTTGCGTCACGCAGGCAGCGGTGTTTGTTGCTTTGCGTCACGCAGGCAGCGGTGTTTGTTGCTTTGCGTCACGCAGGCAGCGGTGTTTGTTGCTTTGCGTCACGCAGGCAGCGGTGTTTGTTGCTTTGCGTCACGCAGGCAGCGGTGTTTGTTGCTTTGCGTCACGCAGGCAGCGGTGTTTGTTGCTTTGCGTCACGCAGGCAGCGGTGTTTGTTGCTTTGCGTCACGCAGGCAGCGGTGTTTGTTGCTTTGCGTCACGCAGGCAGCGGTGTTTGTTGCTTTGCGTCACGCAGGCAGCGGTGTTTGTTGCTTTGCGTCACGCAGGCAGCGGTGTTTGTTGCTTTGCGTCACGCAGGCAGCGGTGTTGATGTTCAACAAGTCAAGTTGTCAATATAGTCAAGACGTAGTACTACAGTGACTACATCACAGTGCCTGGTCCGGTTACTGTGCTGACCATGACCTGACCTGTCATGGCCTGACCTGACATGACCTGACCTGACCTGTCATGGCCTGACGTGGCTTGACCTGACCTGACATGACCTGACCTGACCTGACCTGACCTGACCTGACCTGACCTGGCCTGACCTGGCCTGACCTGGCCTGGCCTGGCCTGGCCTGGCCTGACCTGACCTGACCTGACCTGGCCTGGCCTGACCTGACCTGGCCTGGCCTGACCTGGCCTAACCTGACCTGACATGGCCTGACCTGACCTGACATGGCCTGACCTGACATGACCTGACCTGACCTGGCCTGACATGACATGACCTGACCTGACCTGTCATATTACAAAAGTTGTCACAATTTTTAATACTGCAGCTTTCAGGTCATTGGGGCATTTCTTAGATCTTCTGTATCTGAAGTAATCTCTTTAATTTGTATGTTTTTAATAATTACATTAGATGGTCCAAACTCATAATCAGTGTGTCCTTACCTGCAAACCTCATTGGCCAGTCGATCTACAAAGACATGATTTCCAGCCCCCAACAAGGGATTGGGGCCACACAGATCATGTACAAAAGATATTATTATCATTGACAAAAATTCCATTCAATTATAGTATTACAAGCTCCTTCAGGCATTAACTGTAATGGGTTATTTAAGGACTGCAGAACACTTAAAGAGTCACAAATCACCACTATCATTGAGTTTAAGGTACTCAGTGGCTAGATAAATACCCAACAGTTCAGTCTGTGTCGTGCTTGACCGAGAGTGCGTTCACTCTCTGCACTCTGGACATAACCATTTCACTTGCTATCTATACTACACATGCAAAATCTGCTCTGAGCATGTGCCGAGCAGAGCAGAGCAGAGGTCTGTGCATATAGTGCACAGAGCCACGAGTAACAAATAGGTTGATATAAAACTGTTTGTGTATCAACCTATCTTCTATCCCCAGGTCACTAGTAGTCAATATATTTGTTCAATTGTAAACAATTTTTTTTTAAATATAAATTTAGATTATTTTATAGTGATGGTGTAAGCACAGTTAGAGCTAAAGGAACGGTTAGGCCAGATGCTTGGGATCCTCACTTTATGCACGTCCATCCACGAGCCGACCCCCAAAGACACATTTTAACGAAACGTGTATTCAAAACATATATTATCTCATATATATAAATGACCAATTATTATACATTAGAATTTGATGTGTATTAAGGCCTGAGTTTGGTTAGGTGTTTAGGTTCCCTGGATCATTGTTGGTATCTGAGGTCCACGGGCGAAGCCTTAACTGAGTTGCGATTCGAACAGGCGTCGTCAGCTAAACACTGTTCGAAAACAGTTCGAACGTGATCGGGTTGTGACGGCCCGTCCTCTTATTTCAAAGATCCAAGCTCGTTAATCCAGCCGCCAAACCCCGTGTTCATGAATGACAAACTGGTGACGTCCGAACACTTCCCGAACAAGTGCTTCACTCACGTCCTCTGTTCGAACCACAGTTCTATAAATGCTTCAGCCATGTAATTACAATACATATAATTTATATATAATAACATTGGTTTGTTCTCGTATATAAATTAATGTTTAATACGCAGTATGTTAAAATTGATGAATGCGTCGGGGAGGACGGCCGCTGCTTTAACCATCCTAGTGTGAGGACGGGTTGTCTGGGGAGGCCGGCCGCTGCTTTAACCAGCCTAGTGTGAGGACGGGTTGTCCTGGGAGGACGGCCGCTGCTTTAACCAGCCTAGTGTGAGGACGGGTTGTCTGGGGAGGACGGCCGCTGTTTTAACCAGCCTAGTGTGAGGACGGGTTGTCGGGGGAGGACGGCTGCTGCTTTAACCAGCCTAGTGTGAGGACGGGTTGTCGGGGGAGGACGGCTGCTGCTTTAACCAGCCTAGTGTGAGGACGGGTTGTCTGGGGAGGACGGCTGCTGCTTTAACCAGCCTAGTGTGAGGACGGGTTGTCCGGGGAGGACGGCTGCTGCTTTAACCAGCCTAGTGTGAGGACGGGTTGTCGGGGGAGGCCGGCCGCTGCTTTAACCAGCCTAGTGTGAGGACGGGTTGTGTGGGGATGACGGCCGCTGCTTTAACCAGCCTAGTGTGAGGACGGGTTGTCCTGGGAGGACGGCTGCTGCTTTAACCAGCCTAGTGTGAGGAAGGGTTGTCTGGGGAGGACGGCCGCTGCTTTAACCATCCTAGTGTGAGGACGGGTTGTGTGGGGAGGACGGCCGCTGCTTTAACCAGCCTAGTGTGAGGACGGGTTGTCGGGGGAGGCCGGCCGCTGCTTTAACCATCCTAGTGTGAGGACGGGTTGTCCTGGGAGGACGGCTGCTGCTTTAACCAGCCTAGTGTGAGGACGGGTTGTGTGGGGATGACGGCCGCTGCTTTAACCAGCCTAGTGTGCGGACGGGTTGGTTTCTAGTGTTTCTTCCATAAAGAGGTTGTTTGGGTGCTGGTTTAAGCAGCGTTTGACCATTGTATATACGGGCGGGCGGCGCTCATAGCTGGCTTTGCTTTGGAGACTATGTTGAACATACGAAGCTCTTCTGTGTCTCTTTGTCATCATTCACACATGGTGCTGTTTCTCTAAGAGTTAAGGGCTATAACAATCTGGTTCCTTGGCTCTTTGTTTGTCTGCTCTCTCTCACATCTCGCTCTTTCTGAGCTCTCTCCTGCTCTTTTTCTCTTGTCTCTATCATCCCTTCTTCTTCTTCTTCTTCTCTCTACTTTCATTTCCATCCATTTCTTCATTGCCACTTTTATTCCGCTTCTCCCTCATCCTATCACCCTTCTACACACTCCTTAATGAAAATGTATATATGCTGGTTAGCATTGTAAATGTGCGGCCACGTCTGTGGTAGAAAATAATTAAAAAAACAAAAAATAAAAAACTTCATTTTCCCTTCACTTTCCACACACTCCCTTATTCTCCCATACCCCTCCACACACTCCCCTCACCCTCCACACACTCCCCTCACCTTCCACACCCTCCCCTCACCCTCAACACACTCCCCCTCACCCTCAACACACTCCCCTCACCCTCAACACACTCCCCCTCACCCTCCACACACTCCCTCTCACCCTCAACACACTCCCCTCGCCCTCCCCTCACCCTCCACACACTCCCCTCACCCTCCACACACTCCCCTCACCCTCAACACACTCCCCTCGCCCTCCCCTCACCCTCCACACACTCCCCTCACCCTCAACACACTCCCCCTCACCCTCCACACACTCCCCTCACCCTCAACACACTCCCCTCGCCCTCCCCTCACCCTCAACACACTCCCCTCACCCTTCCCTCATCTTTCACACTCAGGTTACTGACCTATTGTTAATATTGGTTTCTGGTTACTGAGTGCCGTCCTGGCTGTTGTTATTGAAATCTCCCGCCGCCGTCCTCTTGCTGTTACTTCCGACTCATTGCTCCTTAAGATGCTGGGAAGTGTGTGGTGAGTTCCTTAACCCTCTGATGCCTCCTCTTCTCTCTTCCTCACACCTCCATCTCTCTCTCTCTCTCTCTCTCTCTCTGTCTCTCT